TGAAACAGAATGCTCTTCTCCATTCCCAAAAACAGCATCGTGACGCATTTGAAGTTCCTCAAGGATTTATATGAAGTTATACTAGATACCAATAATATCCGATATCTAGAATAACTTGTTATGAAGACAATGCATTCAAAGTTTAATATCTCAAAAGAATAACAAGCTAACTTTGTAAAACAAGGCAAGAATGAACCAGAATCAAAGATGACCACAAGAGTTTCCATGTGAATGAAAGAGATCAAAAATGGTAAATGGTTGTGAACATTTATTTAGCCAAGAAAACCATAAACCCGAGGGTTTGTGCTCTGTTACAGATGTGGGCAGCAAAATACGGGAGCAGAAGAATGAAATAAGAAAAAAAGTCAACACACATAATTACATAAACATGAAGAGAAAAGGATTTTATAATGGAAATTTTGTAGTTCCTCACTAAAATCCATTCTTTTACAAGCCAGCCTTAAGGTTATAGCTGTAATCTAAGTTCGAGAACTACATAGTACACTAACATAGCTGCTGCTTAAAAAAAAAAGGAAATAGAAATAAGTTACTTGTATGAAATAAGAAGAGTTACCATTGCTATATCGACTACGATACGAAGGCACTGCCATCCACATTCGAGTGAAACTAAGCTCTCAACGTACACAAGTGAGTTTCCAATAGTACATATCTGCGGAAACCCCCTGGTTGTGTTAGTCTTTTTATTATAATGGTACAAGCCTCAGGATATGATGCACAATATATGATCACCATCCTTCGACTCCCACAATGCTCGAGTGGTGAAGGAAGATTGAGGTGGATTAACATAAGGAAAAGAAGCAACTTTGATCCAGGTGTCTTTCATTACCCACACATCTGCATAAGTAAAATCATGAACACAAACCATACCAAGGCTACTTCCCATCTCTCCAAGTCCAAATTTATACCAAAATCTGCTCTCCGCATGATTTGGGCTATCCATGATTTCATAACTTTCATTCCCTAAATCGAAGCTGACAATTTTCCAATCATCATTTCTATACCCGAGACACCAGTAGAGCTTTCCGCTCACGTAATGGACCAGTCTACAAATACCTGAATTCTTTGAAGACCCAATCTTAAAACGCTCGATCTTATGCCAAGAGTTAGACTTCAGACCTTACATATGAACTGCTCTGGAATACCCAGATACAACAATTATCTTATAATCGTCGGTCTGAGCATCATAACCAAATCCCAATCGATCTCCAAAACAACCCCATTTGATGCCCACATCAGGCAGCTTCCTGAGCTTTTTAGTGCAAGGGTTACAGAGCAACACTGTATGATCCCGAGCCCTGATCTGCAAACAAACTAGACCCCTGCAAGAACCTACCAGCCAAAATTCCTTATTACCACGGATTGGATAATCGATTTTGAAAAACTCATGGTTTCAGAAGACGACGAGTTCAGTAGAGAACTAACCGAATGCACCCTGTGTGATAGCAGGTGGGGAGGTACGCCACGATTTGCGGAAAATACAGTGGAGATGAGACGATGGTGTCAAAAATCTTCCCTTCCAGCTGCTATCTCGAAATGGGTTTTGATGAATGTTGGACAAGAGATCAAAGGAAGCCATGATTTTGAGACACACTTGAATTTCCCCAAGGATTTGGCGGGTAGTCTTGAAAGGATTTCGATTGCAATTTCGTTAGGGAAATCCGGCATCAGTGAAGGGTCGGATTCCGCACTTGGATTACTGGAGAAAGAGGGGAATGCCTTCAAATGATGAACAATTTGGCTACCCTTTTCCGGATTCGGATTCGTAGGATTTGGTGGGTTTGATTGTGCCATCTATTTGATATGGCTACATAATTGTCCAAACTTTTAAACCTAACGTTATATTGTGAACGATGAAATGGGGAATGAAGCTGTACTGGAAATGAATTAGAGTTAAGATAAAAAGCAGAATAAAAATATAACGAAGACCTTATACACTTTTTCCTTTTTTTTTTTTTCTTGATCGAACGCCAATGTAGATCACAAGGTTCCTAACTCGCCGATGATTAAAGGACTGCTATAAGAAAATGATGTATGCCTCTATCTCTCCATTCCAAGAAATTAAGAAATCAAGAAGGAAAAAAATTCAATATTCCCTAATTGGGTTGATCTACAAGGACCATGTTACATTAATATTCCCTAAACCGCAGATTGTTTTTTGTACGAGTTTCTAACATCTAATGGAGAAGAAGAAATGATTCGCAGCAACTAAGAAATTTCGACTGATTTCGAGAAAGCAAAGCAGCAGCCTATTTGTTAAAAGAGAATGCAAATCCAGCAACAGCAAACACATCGCTTTCTAAGCTGAAGAAACACAAATTTCAGAAATCCTATGCATCATTCGAGGTTCCAAAGCTAGCATGGTGACACAAAAAAGTATATCAACGAAACAATTGTAAAGTGCAAACTGTTAACTACTTGCAGCTGAAACAAGCATATATAGCAACAGTTCGAAACTTGTCTTTCGCATTTGCTTGTCATCTTGCAAACTAGAAACCGTTATAATCAAACAGAAGACAGAATGCTAGCTACCACAGCCAAATGTATGTAAGAAATGAAAATGCTGGTGAAAATTTCATATGAGGCCTCCAACATCACAACGAGAAAGGCATCAGGTTAAACCTTTGGTATTTCATACCTCTGATAGAGAACCAGCAATGATGAATAAGAAACATATTTATTGAATAGAAACACATGCTGAATAAGATGAGAATCTCCTAGACGAAGAACTCGACAAGCATTTGAACGATATCATCAATCAAACACATGCTGCTTTAACCCTGGGCGCAAATGATGAGATAGAGGTGGAGGATACCCAAATCCTGGACCATGAAGATCCATCTTTGCCCTCACAACCTCCGCCGGGTAAAAAAGCGAAACCGTGGTCGAGAGATAAGATTGGAGGAGGAAGAAAGAAAAAGGTCTCAATCCCCCCTCGGACATCGCAACAACAAACTGAGGGTCAACAAAATGAGGATCGAGCACATTCTTCTCGAGGCTCGTGCATCCAAGTCGAGACTCAATTTGAAAACATTGGTGCACCCGAGACTCAGTTTGACCTTGGTGGACCGGAGACTCAGTTTGGTGGACAGTCGCAACCACAACCGAGAGTCAAATTTCTCACCATGGGAGAGTCCCAATCCCAACCCCAACCCGAGGCTCACTTTGGTGGACAGTTGCAACCACAACAGAGTTCAATACTCACGTATCTTAAGAGGGGAGACAGGATCCGGCAGGACCCAAATAAATACACTCCGGATGCGCACAATAAAGGAAAAGGGAAAAAATGAGATCTTTGATGTATTTTGTACATTTAAAGTAGTTTTTGTATTGATTTTGATATGAAACTTGATTTATTTTGTTGTTAATCGAATGCCGTTTATTGTTTTGTTACCATTAAATTTCTGTTTTCCAATGTTTCATTGTTATTGGTACTGTAAACAAGTTTAGGACTGGTTAAAACTAGTCCAATTTTTTTTCAGTTCTGACATAGACTCGGATTTGTGAAATCTGAACTCAGACTTTTTGTAAAGGATTCGGATTTCGTAAATCCGAGTATGTAGCCAACTGAGAGTTAGCATTTTTCAGAAAACAGAGGAGATTTGGATTTCGGTAATCCGGATCTACATTTATTCGGATTACGGTGATCCGAATTTTCCCAAATTTAATTTTTTAACACATATTTTTTTCTATCCAGAAATTAATATTTTATTCATAAATACAGATTTAAAAAATCCGGATTTAGATTAATTACACTAATTTCTGTCATTTACTTAATATCGAATTTACGTAACACAAAGTCGGATTTCTATAATCCGAGTTTAGAGAGGTTTGGATTTCCGAAATCCGAGTTTCTCACCCATTCGGATTTCCTAAATCCGGGACATATAAGTTTGTCCACAAAATTTTTGAAATGTTTATTTTTGTCCAGGTAGATATAAGGAAATATATTTAAGGAAAAAATTCCAACTAGAAGACACTGTTTATTGAAATGGCAATAAAGATGTTAATCTTCTCGAGTAGTATATTGTGTCTCAATTAGCTTTACCATGCTTAGTTAAAAAACACATATTGTTTGGATTAAGATAACATGAAAGTAGTTAGAACACGATACTATTAAAATCTCTTAACCATATACGCACATATATAAGATAAATGATCTGTCCAGGAAATTTCAAAAATGAATAGACCTTAACTCTACGGGTTTACCCATTTAAAAGATGAGAATAGTTAATCTTAAGGAAATACATAATAAGTTTGATACTTAGTTTTACCTCTTTTTATTGTCTCGAAGAAAGAATAAACTGGAAACAGAATGGTTTAAGGAACTTTTTTACCTCTTCGTGGATCCTCTAATCTAAATGCTGAGAAAATGCAGTAAAATTAGTGTATGGGAGCAACCATGGATGATCATTCAGAAACCGAACAAAAACCAACAATGTCACTCAACTGTGTGGCGAAACTATTTAAAACATAAATATAATCATTCCAAATTTCCAATATCAACAAATAATACAAGAAAATGTTAGGTTTTGGCCAAAGGATATTAGACGTACAAAGCTAATACAACCTCCAAGTGTAAAGTAACACACATCCGTAAACTTCATCTGTGCTTCAAATTGCTCTTCTTTAACAGAGGTTTTATGGATCAACTACACTTAAAATGTTTTGTTTGATGCTCGTCTTGTAAGTGACTAAATCGATAGTTCGATACGGTGAAACATAATTCTTCACCTGCATCACCGGTTCTCCTACAAAATTCTGCTTTTTCTTTCATTAGCCTACTTTCAAATTTCAATTTCCAGTGAATCAGCTAAGAAATATGAGTACCAAGCCAAAGAAGAAACATCACACTATCAAGTTGTAAAACAGGTAGCTAAAGAACCCAAAGAGACATTGGACTCTCAGTTTTGCTCAAACGTCCAAAGAAAATCTTAGTAGCAGACGAACTAGAATCAGTCAGAATGATGCTTCAAAAAACAAGTTGCTAATATGAATGCAGTAGAAAAGTGAAAATCATTGCTCTATGCCTCTATCCACTACCATTTACCTGCAGTCTCATGGGGACATTACAGCGGAACTAAGCTCTCAACATACATAATCGCTTCTCCAATAGTACCAATATGTGGACACCTCCTCGATGTGTTCGTCTTTGGATCGTAAAGGAATGAAGCTGTGCGTATGATGCACAATATTTCACCATTCGTCGATTCGCAAACTGATTGATTGAAACAAGTCCTAACTAAGCTCTCAACATACATAATCGCTTCTCCAATAGTACCAATATGTGGACACCTCCTCGATGTGTTCGTCTTTGGATCGCAAAGGAATAAAGCTGTGCGTATGATGCACAATATTTCACCATTCCTCGATTCGCAAACTGATTGATTGAAACAAGTCCTAGGTGCATCAGCGCAAGGAATAGTAGCCACTTTAATCCAGGAGTCTTTCATTACCCATACATCTACGTGATAAAATTCATCATAAATCATACAAAGGCGACCTCCTAATTCTCCAAATCCATCACATAAACCCTCCGGGTTAATAGGCCGTTCCATGACTTCATAAGTTTCCTTCTGCAAATCGAAGCTGGCAATTTTCCAATCATACACTCCATCCATGACAGCCCAACAGAGGGCTCTCCCGCAGTACCGAATCCCTCATACTCTTCCTCAAAATCTGCAATCCCATTCTTAAAATTCTCAATCTTGCGCCAAGCATTAGTCTTGAGACTGTACACATAGGTTGCATTGGAAAACCCGGATACCATAAACACTTTATAATCCTCGCTCAGAGCATCAAAACCAAATCCAAGTCTATCTCCAAAGTAACCCCATTTTACATCCTCCAAATCCAGTTTAGGCAGTTTCCTAAACTTCTTAGTACAAGGGTTACACAGAAACAACGCATTATCCCGGGTTTCAAACAAACCAATCCGCAGCACGAACCTACCAGCAAAAATGCCTTCTTACCCTGAACTGGATAATCTATTTCAAAAAAGCCTAAAGACCCAGTAGGGCTCGTTTCAGAGGATCCCTCGTGCAGTAGAGAATTAACAGAATGCACCTCGTGATGTTGCATCTGCTTCAAACACACGCTGAAGATGAGGCGATGGTGCTCAAAATCATCCCTTCCAGATGCTAATGACAGATGGGTTTTGATGAATGTTGGACTTGAGATCAGAGAAAGCCATGATTGCGACACGCAATTGAATTTTCCCAAGGATTTCACTGGTAGTCTTAAGAGGATATCGATGGCAATTTCGTTGGGGAAATCGGGCATCAGTGAAGGGCCGAATTCCATAATTGGATTGTAGGAAGAAGGGGGGAATCCCTCCAAATGCTGAATGATTTGGTTTCTCCTTTTTGGATTCCGAGGATTTGGTGGGTTTGGTTCGGACTCTGTAAATATGGTTCCCTGCTTCTTACCAAGATGGAGAGGAAGGAATAAAAATCGCAAGGGTTATAAATCTGCAACTTTGTCCCAAATGTTTATTAGGGGGACACTTTCAACCCTTAATAGATTATCCCAAATAATAGATTATCCAGTTCAGGGTCTACTTAAATGGCAAATATACATGTAGCATCTCCACATTTGGTCACATTTGATTTGATACATATAGCATTACTATCTTCCATCTAAACTTTCTGAACATAAAATTAGACTCTGGCCATAATTACTCGTTTCATGTTCAAATGGCTAGGGAGAGTTGATAAATGATTTGTTCTGAGTTTACTCATGTAATATATGCAGAGAATTCAGAGGAAATCACGAGGAAAAGAAAACAAATTTTCAAAGCTGAGATTAAAGCGAAATAGTTCAATAGTTCTATAACTAGTTTGCATTAAAACAAGAAACATTTTTATATATAATGTAGTAATAACAAACAAAATGCAAAAAAATTGAAGAGTAATTTGATTGTCACCCTTGTGATGATTTTGGCCTGACAGCAGGATCGAATAAAGTTTCGACATGTTTGGAATAGATTTCAAGATACACATGACCGGTGAAGTAGTTGAGCTTCGGATTCTTTCTGAACTTGCCTTCTTTAATGTCCCAACAATAGCAATACGTTTTGCCCTCCTCCTCCAGCTCCATCAATTGAACAAGATTCTCCCTGCTATTAATTGCACAACCTACATCAAGTTGTAATCTTTCTTGTTAGGGTTCCACAAATTTTGGGTAGGTCGGAATACTAATTTTCTCCCAACATTCTTCTTCACTATGATTATCAGCATTATTGATGATCAATCTCCATATATCTATGCCTTGGTGCATCCTCATTAAAGCTACCCATTCTCTTACCTCAATTACAGACCACTTGAATCCATATTTAGCATCTGTTTCTTGTTTCGGGAAATGTATAAATCTAAATCTTTCCTCGCCAACCGAGAACACTAGGAGAGCCTCATAAGAATCCGGAAATTGGACCATGATGTAAATCTCATCCTTAAGGTAAAGAGACTGGCGCTTTGACGTGTAGGCTACCATCATGCCGTTGGTCTTAATAAGGTTTTCACCGGAAGCTCCGCAAGTATGGTAAAAATTATGTCTTTTGGAATATCAACATGTCCACCACCAACTTCTTCTTCTTCTTCAAGCTTCACGTCAGGAACTTCGTCAGTTGCTGCTGCTAATGATTTCGTCATCTTGTTCAACGCAAAGATATCTCTCGAACGTGTATATAATATATTGATTGATGAGGTCTGGAGGTGAATATAATACACCTACGTACGTAGTCGAACCCTAGTTATCAGTTTTCTCCTATTCCAAACCAAAACCGATCTCGTTCAGTTACGAGATAATTCAGAATATGGTTTGTAAGAATGGGTAATTTTATATAATGAAATTGTTGGTGATCTCAATACTCTATGGAGACGGAAAACCCTCCTCCCTCAGATTTTGTTAGGTTCTCTGGATACTAAAAAGTTGAAAAAGAGAGAAAGGACAGTACATACAAATACAGTTTTTTAACCTAATAATTTGTATGAATTGGTAAAAAAAAAATTAAAAAAAAAGGTCAGCAGAGACTTTTGCCGACGCAAAGTTAAAAAAAAAAAAAAAAGTAACGGAACGCTGTAAGTAAAGAGGTAATTGAGGGTTTTTTTTCTTTTTTTTCAAAGAAAATAATATTGAAAATAAAGCACCTTTTATTTGCACTATTAATTCCTTGCTGTTTTCACCCATATAGAGTATATTGGGTCCAAAAGTCTGTTGGAGAAGATGAATCCCAAGGTAACTTTAGAACATACAATTGTACTAGCTAGTATTATTTTTTTCCAAACGGATGGAGTGATAGTATATGTCTTAGTATATCCCTTGTCAGATTTATTCGTTGTTCTTAGATAATTGGTGATGGAACAAATTGACCTATATAGAACTAGCTGCATTGCATTCGAATCTACCTTCATCAGCTTCTAATAAGGTATGGATTAACCTCCGCCTTTTAGTCTGATCATGGATGTAAATATATCTCAATGCTGGTATGACAAGATGGGAATTTTTTCCTTAAATATATTTCCTTATATATACCTAGACAAAAATAAGCCTTCCAAAAATTTTGTGGACAAATTTATATGTCCCATATTTTAGAAATTCGAATGGGGGAAAAATTCGGATTTCCGAAATCCGAATCTCTCTCAACTCGGATTATAGAAATCCGACTTTGTGTTACGTAAATCCGATATTAAGTTAATGATAGAAATTAGTGTAATTAATCTAAATCCGGATTTTCTAAATCCGTATTTACGAATAAAATATTAATTTTCGGATAGAAAAAAATATGTGTTAAAAAATTAAATTTGGGAAAACCCGGATCATGCTAATCCGAATGAATGTAGATTCGGATTACCGTAATCCGAATATCCTCTGTTTTTTGCAAAATGAACTCTCAGTTGGCTACATACTCGGATTTACGAAATCCGAATCCTTTACAAAAATTCTGAGTTTGGATTTCGCAAATCCGAGTCTATGTCAGAGCTGAAAAAAAAATAGACTGGTTTTAACCAGTCCTAAACCTGTATACAGCACCAACAACAATGAAACATTGAAAAACAGAAATTTAATGGCAACAAAACAATAAACGGCATTCGATTAACAACAAAACAAATCAAGTTTCATACCAAAATCAATACAAAAACTACTTTAAATGTGCAAAATACATCAAAGGTCTCATTTTTTCCTTTTTCCTTTATTGTGCGCATCCGGAGTGTATTTCTTTGGGTCGTGCCGGATCCTGTCTCCCCTCTTGAGATACGTGGGTATTGAACTCTGTTGTGGTTGCGACTGTCCACCAAACTGAGGCTCGGGTTGGGATTGGGATTCGGATTGGGACTCCCCAATGGTGAGAAATTTGACTCCCGGTTGTGGTTGCGGCTGTCCACCAAACTTAGTCTCGGGTCCACCAAGGTCAAACTGAGTCTCGGGTCCACCAAGGTCAAACTGAGTCTCAGGTCCACTAATGTCTTCAAATTGAGTCTCAACCTGGATCCGCGAGTCTTGAGAAGAATGTGCTTGATCCCATTTTGTTACCCTCAGTTTGTTGTTCCGATGTCCGAGGGGAGATTGGGACCTTCCTCTTTCTTCCTCCTCCAATCTTATCTCTCGACCACGGTTTCGCTTTTTTACCCGGCGGAGGTTGTGAGGGCAAAGATGGATCTTCATCAACCAGGATTTGGGTATCCTCCACCTCCATCTCATCATTTGCACCCAAGGTTAAAGCAGCATGTGTTTGATTGATGATATTGTCCAAATACTTGTCGAGTTCTTCGTCTAATAGATTCTCATCTTCTCGATTTTCTCTAAACTTCTCAGAACTCACGCGAATGTTGTTCAATACATCACCCTGAAAAGAAATTGGGACGTTAATTAAGAGAGTAAAATTCTAAAAAAATAAAAATAAAATAAAATGAAAACATAAGAAATAAAAAATATATATATATAGAATGAACTCACATATAATTTCACTCGGCTCAAAGAAGTCTCGTATCCTTGAGCTTCATAATTTTTGGGATTGGATATCAGTCTGACAGTGTTCACCATGAACCATTCAAAATACCCCTCATACACGAAGCCAGGGTCCCCTTCCTCCAAATCTCGTAGCACGTACTCTTCTCTCCTATTCCAATGACGACGTACTGTGGAATGGTGGTCCACCCAATTGTTACTAGGATACCCAAACATACTGTGGGCGTGATCGAGAAGAAATGCTGCGTTATCTTTAATCATAGGGCGCATGGGAACATCCTGTATGTATCCAAATTGTCTCAAAACTCTGCCCGACTCGTGGGGTTCCCTAATAGCCCAACAGAACATCCAACACCTGGTCGTCCAAATGGTTTGGCCTTGTGTACAGAAATCAGGGAGTCTATGAAGGACCTTTGCATATGGTTGCCACCGAAACTGCACAAAAAGAATTTCATTAGATCGTATAACCGGAACGAAAAGAAATTCAAAATAAATATAAATACCAAATTACAAGTACTTAGATCTTTAGCAAGCAGGCTTGTTAATTGATCTCAAAAAGGTGGGGTGCTGCTCCTTGGGGCGTCTCCGTAGGTGTACCTACATTCCCACCTTAATGAACAAAGGGGTACATTTGAATTAGTTAAAAAAATGAATAAGAAACAAATAGAAATAAACATTGAGCTATTTTGAACTGAAAATACGTACTGCTGAGCTAATAGAGCGGTCTCATCAATCAAATAATCTACTCCTTTCTTTGTGGCGCGATTCTCTCGATCCGCTCATACGCCCATACCTAGTAAATTTCAATAATAATGTTAAAACTTCAAATTATAACGTCGAAAGTAAAAAATAATTATAACACTAATTGAAAATTAATACGTACCTGTAGCAAATATAGACAGCTAGTGGCGTCGTGCATGGTGTACTGTGATGCCTCGCACGGTCCTCCAATTTATGGCACATGCCTACTTCCACCAACCAAAATTAAAGGCAGTCTAATTTCCAAACTCCGAATACAGAAAACTGGATTACGGACTTCCGGTATTTGGATTCAAAAATTTTGCGCCTCGATTTTCTTTTTTTCTTTTTTTTTTTTTGTACACTCGGATTTTGTAAATCCGAGGACCACTGTTTATTTAAGGACTCCAGGTTCTGGACTCCTTATTTGAGTTCAAATATTTCGTGCCTCAATTTATTATTTTTTAATTAAATTCGGATTCCGGAAATCCGAACGGCACTGTTCATTTAAGAATTTTTCAAAACTATTATTCAACAAAATTTATTTAATTATTATTTTATTATTAAATATAGGCTCGGATTTACGAAATCCGAATCTTTAATTTTAATTAGAACTCGGATTTCGGAAATCCGAGGGATATATTTCTGTCCACTAATATTATGAAAAATTCAAATTTGTCCACGTTTATTTTAATTAATTTTTTTGGGGGAAAAAGCCTAATAAGTTTAACTCAATCCTTCTAATAAATGTAAAAGGACGCATGCCCATTTTGGTCCCTAATGTTTAGGAAGTAGTTTAACCTAGTCACCAAAAATATTTGTCTCCAATTTTAGTTCCCATAAAATTTTTTAGTACTATTTTTGGTCTTTTTAACGAAATTTGGAGGAAACTATTCTGTCACATGCACAATATTATATTATTTTTTTCTGACAATGGGTCCCACTAATTTTGACCCAGAAACAGAAACATGATAAAAACTAATTTTGGTCCCAAAGTTTAGGAAGTCCAACAATTTTAGTCACCCCAAATTTTTATTTTATCATTTTTAGTCCTCGTAAATTTAATTCTTCAACTATATTTACTCGTTTTATTTTAATTTGAATTTTAAATTTATATTTTAATTTTTGTATTTTTCAAAAGGTTTTTAGATTTGGTTTGAAAATTGAACATTCCTCCATTTGTAAATGTTAAAATTCATAAACCAAAATCAGTTTACATTGCAGAGAAGAATGATTCATAAACCAAAATTTTTTAAATAATTCTTATTAAAAAAAATATTTTAGAAAAGAAGTGATGATTAAAATTTTTTTTCTCTTTTTTTTAAAAATTTTGACATACTCTCCTCTATTACCTTATATCGTCATCATTGCCGCCGACACATCTATATCCCATAAGACAGGTAAATCACGAAAAAACTGCAGTTAACTTAAGGTTATAAAGGGTAGATAAATGAATGAAGTCTTCTTGATTAGTTCGTCTATTGAATTTTAAATTAATGAAATATCTTGTTTCATACTTCTAAATTCTTAGTGTCATGTTCATCATTTGTCTAATTATTCATGAATTTTCTCTATTTTTATCCCTTCAATGTAAACTGATTTTTGTGTATGAATTTTAAGATTTAAAAATGGAAGAATGTTAAATTTTCAAACCAAATCTAAAAACTTTTTAAAAGATACAAAAATTAAAATATAAATCTAAAACTAAAATTAAAGTGAAATGAGTAAATGCAGTTAAAGAATTAAATTTACGAGAACTAAAAATGATAAAATAAAAATTTGGGTTGACCAAAATGGGCATTTGTCCAATGTAAAACTTACATTTCTTGTTTTGTGCGCATCATCCTTGCGCAAGGACCATGCTAATCTTCTCTGTATCGTTCCAATTTTATCGGATGTCCCGAAGGACAAATGTAAAACTTACATATATGGCTATTGCTACTTCGGTATGTAAGTTTGGGCTGCAAGTCTTAGGCTAATAGCACAATGTGGATATTAGAATGAAGATTGCCAAGTGGTTTAAGTTGGCCCTCTTTTGGTATCCAAATCATGTGCGTTAATTGCAGTAAAATTAACTTAGGTGCCTAAAGAAATTTGGTATCCAAAATTATCAATATCATACTCCACCATATCGAAACGTTTTTCAACAAAGTGAGCTGTTATTCCGGAATGTACAAAGAAGATGACACGATGGGTGTTCAAAATCATCCCTTCCAGATGCTAATTGACAAATGGGTTTTGATGAATCTTCGTCAGTTATTCAAAGGATTTCCATTAGCTCAGAGATGAACAAAAATTCTCAAATGACTAGCTTTTGCTGATACTTTCTATTCAACCAGACTACTACAAAAATGAACTTGGAAATAGACCCCCGGCTTGTCAGATTTGCAAGTAATCATATATGCGCAACCCAATGAAGCCTAGAAGCCTAGAACCAATGCTGTTCATTAGCAGCAAAGACAATGCATTCGAAGTTCAAGATTTCAAAAAAGTTATACAGAGGTCTTTTAACTTTGTAATACAACACCAGAATAATTTTGGAGCCTATGACAATAGCCACAGATTACTAATTTTTGGGGAATGAAAGTGATCAAGACTGGTAAAATGGTAGAGTACGTTTATTTTAGGAAGGATATAACATACCTTATTCAGAGAGTTTTTGCTCTGTTACAGATGTAGGTCCTGAAATGCTGGAACAGAGGATACAAGGTGAAGTAAAATACACCCAGCTAATCATTAGAAGAATATCAACACAGATAAACATGAATAAAATGAACATCACTTTCTAAAGGAAATTTTATAGTTCCTCACTGAACTAACTTCTATATAACCCAGCCGTAACCAGAAACTATAGCACAGTCAATCAAGCCTAAACCAGTATCACAGGAAACTATAAACTTCTGCAAATGAACAACCACATGAAACAAATCAAATAAAACCTTAAACCCGTATCAAGAATTGTATTCCAACAAAGTAAAGGGAGAATCTGTCCCTTAGTTTTCCCATTTCTACTGTAAAGGTAGCTCAATTTCTTTTACACACCCTGGCCTTAATCCTAAAAGAATCACTAATTACAACAATCCCACAAAAATCAGAAAGAGCCCCTGCAAAAGAAATAAATTTAGAATGACCCCAGCCCCAGATCCTCAATAAAGAAATGCAGGAAGCCATCTGTACTTTTCCTTTTACCAACAAACACTTTAAAAGCTTTTCTACAACATCTTGTAGGAGTTAGTATGAAAGGCATTTTCTACAATGTACATTCTGCATATATGAATTATAAAAACCTTAATTACAGTTAAAGCAACCTTAAGAGAGCTCAGCAGGTTATCTTATTCGGATCATTAGCATAACAGGCTCTGCTAAAGAAATCAACAATATTTTTTTTCACTCCTTTTGCCTTCTCTCATTTTCCAGCGAAACGACAGAAGAGAATTAGTAACTGAAATAGACTACATATGTAACAAGGGTAAGAAGCAACAACATCAAAGTATCATAATGTGAAACCGAATTAAAACCTCAATCTCATGCTATACAAATTCTGAGTCATGATCGAAAGAGCCATCATACATAGAGCAATAAACGCATATACAGAAACGTTTTGAAAACAAAAGCAAAAAAAAAAAAAAAAAAAAAGTTACTAATATGAATGCAGTAGGAAAAAAATAAGCATTGCTCCATCCACTACAATTTAACCGCAGTGTCGTGGAGTCATGGACATTAGATCTGAACTAAGCCCTCAACATACATAACCGCTCTTCCAATAGAGCCTATATACGGATACCTCCTGCATGTGTTAGTCTTTTGATCATAAAGGATTAAGGCTGTTCGTAAGATACACAATATTTCACCATTCCTGGATGTGCAAACTGATTGATAGGTCAAAAAAGGACCAAGTTCAACATCACAAGGAATAGAAACCACTTTAATCCAGGAGTCTTTCAGTACCCATACATCTGCCCGAGTAAATCCATCATAAATCACACAAAGGCGACCTCCTGTCACTCCAAGTCCTCTGTGCACACGTTTGAACTCTGTGTTATTGGGGCGGTCCATGACTTCATAAGCTTCATTCTCCAAAGCCAAGCTGGCAATTTTCCAATTATCATTTCCATCCATGACAGGCCAATAGAACTTTCCACTTGCAAAATGGATCTTTCCATCCATGATTTTATCATTCTTTTCATGGAAATCTGTAGCCCCAAACTTAAAATGCTCCATCTTGCGCCAAGAATTAGTCTTGAGACTGTACACATGGATTTCTTCATACCCGGCAACCACAATTACTTTATAATCATCGTTCAGAGCATCATAACCAAATCCAAATTTATCCCCAGAGTAACCCAATTCTATACCCACATCAGGCAATTTCCTAAGTTTCTTAGTACAAGGATTACATAAAAACAAAGCATTATTCCTGGTCAGCAAACAAACTAATCCACAGCAAGAACCTACCAGCCAAAATTCCTTATTACCATGGCCAGGATAATCGATTTCAAAGAAAGTGGCGATTTCATTAGATGCAGAGTACAGCAGAGAACTAACAGAATGCACCTCGTGATGTAGCAGGCTGGAATAGCGACCCGTAGCGAAATATACAGAGAAGATGAGACGATGGTGTTCAAAATCATCCCTTTCTGATGCTACCGCGAGATGGGCTTTGATGAATCTTGGACTTGAGATCAAAGAAAGCCATGATCGCGATACACACTTGAATTTCCCCAAGGATTTGGCGGGTAATCGTAAAAGGATTTCGATGACAATTTCACTAGGAAAATCGGGCATCAGTGAAGGGTCGAATTCCTTTATTGGATGAGAAGTAGAAGAAGAGGGAAATCCCTCCAAATGCTGAACGAAATGGGTTCTCCTCTCCGCGTTCGGATGAGGAAATTTCTGGGTATCTGATTCGGACTCCATGGCTGTTGCTCTCACTCTCAGTGGGAGGAGAGCAGAGGAAATGAAAATCAAAGGGGTTAATATTGAAATGAAATTGTATGTCCCCACTGTTCATCTAATTTACACGTAAGTCCTCTGAAATTTCAGATCAATCCTTTATATTCCCAGAAATTACGTATAAGTCCTACACTTTTAGTCCACCTAACAGAGAAGGAGAACAACCAAAACACTTGACCGATCCAGAATGTGGTTTAAAGTTTTAAGGGTTCTTTTTTTTTTGGTTTTGATAGAATGTGGATTAAAACTTGAAAACTTTTAAACTACCTCAATTCTTTGATTGGTATCAAAATTGCTTTTACAATGCTCAGAAGCAGCTGATGTTAGTTTAATCACGATGTTGTTAAACTATTCCAATCTTTTGATTTGGTAATTTCACAATGCTCACAAGAGTAGCTGATGTTCTTTCAACATGATAACAATTTCATATTCTAGATTTCGTCTCTCTTGTTGTACCATAAAAACTGCCGTAAGAGAGGTCATGAATTCCTCTTCCATAAAACACAGAATAAACACAAGAGCCTTAACGCCAATGCCAAACATTACTGATTCTAAAGATCCTCCATCTCGCACCAAGCATTATTCTTTAGACTGTAGACTTGACTTTCAAGGATTGAAAGATCAAATCCAGGTTTGTTTGGAACCTGAAATAGCCCGACTACTTTGTATTCATCATTCAACTTATCATAAGCCAAAATGAATCAGCATCTGGAAGAAACAAATTGTAGCAATGGTCTTTTTCCCAATCATTCCGTTCACTGCCTTTCAGCCCTGGCGGGAGTTTGCTCAATACAGGAAATGCTGAACATTTAGCCCACCAAGACATTTTAGCAACTTTTTATGATCAAACAATACTTCAGTGCTTTGCTCCCCTGCATCCCTCTCAACTCTAAAAGCCCAGTATTTTAGCATAGTTTTTAAGAGTTTTATTACTTAAAAATAGTTTCATGGCACGGATTTATAAATACAGATCCACTCGAGAGAATATTTGGTGGCAAACGTGCGATATAAGCAATCCTGAGGTTCGATTTCAGAAAGGGTAACAAATAATACGAATTTTACTTTAGGTGTCATAAGAAACTGAAGAAAATTCCCGGAGAAATGGATGACCAGATTTCATATGGAAAAGACAACCGGAACTGTGAAACCAAAAATTATGCAGTCAGATGAATGGCATAATCTGAAAGCAAAATATACGTTTGCTGTGACCAAGGAATCGATCCCTATGTTGAAACATACCAACACAGTGGACTAACATTATGAGACACCAGTACTCACCCGTGGGTATGTCTCCTTTTCATTTGACCGGTGGTTCAACCACCAACATACGACAATATACTATACTACATAAGATTCATTTCAACCTTTTAGCTGTTGAACTGAGGATATAGTCACGTCACATCGACAACAAATTCATGGTTATCTCCAACAACTCTGGATGTTAAATTCCGAAAAACCTTCCCCATTCATGTCTCTTCTATTGAATGAAGGAGGTTTAAAGGAAGCAGCAAGAAAAGAATCAATGAATTAACCCACCTTCCTTTTATGCTTAAACCATGGAGAAATGTCAGCAAGTACAGTGCAGGACTGAATTACCAAAGCACTTTGCCTTCGAGGCAATCTTCTTCACCCCAGTCTCATTATGTGAGGATACTGCGCTATGAGGGGGAACATTGATCCTGTCCATTATATTCACCGTTGGGGCATCGAGAGTTGTCTTAGTTGAGGATAACGCCCATTGCATGCTCCAGATTGAAAGTGGTCTCATATATATAAGAGAACGGAAATGACCGTCGATGGTCCAAGCCTCTGGTGTCTGAAAAGCATATCTGCAAAATGAAAATGAGGAATGAGCTCGTAAGTTGAGAAGCAAAACATGGATATGAAGAAGAAAGAGCGAAACAAAAAAGCTACAGACAATTAAAATATATCAAATTGAGAAGTCTCAAAACAAGATGCAGAAACAACATTTCAGAGGAAGGTGAAAATGGGAAAGAATTGATTGGCTTACCCATGTCCCTCTTCTGACCAGCCAGCAAGGAATATGCCTTCAGCTGTGGTGAAGCCCTGCTCCACCATTCCGGCAAGGATCATGTTCGCAGCCGCTGCGTACGTGACTCCAGTCCAAATTTCCCGCGATTGCATGCAAGTCTCGTCAATCTTTCCATTTGGATACATTCCGTTTACAGCACCCATCCGGCCTCCTCGAATTCTCATAACATTGAAATCAAATACCTTTTGGAGCGCACTACGAATCTTGTCTTCATCAAAAAGGTTAGGCAAGCCAGAAGATGCTGTGTACCACTGTCCTGCCAATTGATCAGCTTGGATGGACTTGCTGTTACTGCTAGATCCACTATCGTAGTTAAAGTAGGAACCATTCCACAATTTCTCTTCTAACACGGCCCTTGCCTTGAGAAATTTTCCTTTACATCTTTCAGCAAATGGTCTATCACCAAGTTGAATGGCCATTGCAGCTGCAGCTTGAAGTGCGGCTACCCACAAGCCACCACAATAGGCACTTACCCCATGTACAGTCCACGTATCATATGTTTGATCTGGAAAACCATCATTCTCAATGAGGCAATCATTGTCCCTATCAAACTGCTCCATGTATTCCATTGCAGCACATACAGCTGGCCAGACATCAGCGGCAAATGATAAATCTCCAGTGCCGGCAAAATCTCTGTACACCTGAAGTACAAATTTTGGGTTCAGATCCTTCCATTTGCTTGTGTCATGTATGTTATAAGCATTCATTTCATGCCAAGGATCATGTGTTCCAAGATCATGAGGAACGGCTCCTTTGACCTTCCGGATACCCCAGTTTCCCTCGGCTAGAAACTTCACCTTCCTTTTATCTTCGCATAAAACCGCTTTTGCAAATTCACGCTGAATGCTGAGTTCAATTTTAGGGAACAGCTCAAGCAAAGCAAAAGATGCATAGAAGTGGACGTCATACGTGCACCACATGATATATTCTACACCTTCCAAGTACAAAAATCTACCCACATCATCAGTGTCATTGTCCAGCAGTTTACCTGAGGAACTTGTAAAACGGCTTTCAAATCTTCTTCTAACAAAAGTTGATTCATCAATTTCGTCAGAGTCGTCAGAAAGACTTGATTCACCATTTGCATCTGAGTTGTCAGAAGCTCTCTCATTTTGACCCTTCGATTCTTTTTCGTCATCATCTTGTGAATCAAGATACAATGTATCAACATGATTATTTATAACAGTTTGCTGTCCATGTCCTTCAGCGTCCCTAATCTTACTGACTTTCACTCCTTTAATCTTCACGGGCACAGCCTCATTTTGAGATTCCCGCAAGTCTTCAGTCGGCAGACCAGAATCTAAAGAAAGGAATTGTAGGAAAAAACAGATCACCCAAAAAAATCATCTATCTTGTTCCAGAACAGAAAAATAAACCTGAATAAGAACAGTATCTGACAGCCTTATTACAAAAAAGGTCGCCCGTTTATCCACCGAAAATTAGAAATGCTTCTAAGATTTTGAGAAAGAATCTGCCAGTCCCGCCTGTCTTAGATGAAACCACATCAGAAAGACCATTATGTCCATGCTGTTTCACTCCACTTAAACTATGATTCTCCCTAAAGATAAAGCCTCTGCTTTCAAATCTCTCTTGTTCTAAACAAACAACATATTCAGTGTGGATTCTCTATCCCCTCCCTGGACCCAAAAAGAAAAAGAAAAAAGGAAACAGACCCAGAAGAAGGGACAGGGATCCTTAACCATTTAGACAACACAATCATCAGTAGGGATGATGCATGTAAGAAATGAGTTGCAGAAGAAAAACTGCAATTAACGTTGAAATAATGACCCAAAAAAGTCGAGATAAGTACCAATCCATACTGTCCCACCAGCGACCAAAAAGTATAGCTCGTTGAATAATGTGAACTTGTACCTGTAAAAGTATCACAGTACAATCACTCACTCAGACATGAACTTCTAATTTTATAAGTCAACCCTTACTCACCATTCTGGTAGCCTATCATCCTCGAGAATAGGAGTTTGCCATCTTTCAATCTCTTCTTCCCATAGCTTATAATCTGATTGAGAAACAGAGTAGAACAACTGAGAGTGAAGAGCCATTACAACAAACAAAAGCAGAATATTATTTAATGCTTATCTGACCACACTGCACTTTTAAAGCCTAGATTAGACCATGAGAACGACATCTCAATAGCAAAGAGCCAAAGAGGTTCAAGAGACATTTACTTGTTAAAGCATCGTGCACCAAATCAACTGCAGCCCTCCTTGAAGTACCATAATATTTCGTGTACCTCCTGTGGACCAAGAGAACACAAATTGCAAGTTGTTTAAGGAAAATCCCACCCCTCGAGAAACGAGAGATTACAATCTCACAAAATGCCAACCAAATTGTTCATTATAGTACCAACTGTGCCAACTGAACTTCCCCAAGTAACAGTATTATGCATCAAAGCTATCACATAATCCGTTCAAGAAAAAGAAAACAAAAAATAAGTGAACTACGCACAAGTGAAAAGTGCATGTTGCATTGATATGAATTTCACATGACAAAACAAATATGGAGTATACATCCCGCATCATAACACAAATCAACCGCAAATGCATCTCTTCTTCAATAGTTTTAATTCTTTCTTTTCAGTAATCAAGCATTTATTACTAGGACTAGGATAACAGAACAAATAAAATTTTAACAAATCAGGCACGTAAACTGAGCAATATCACACAACTTCACACAAATCAGCATTCTTGAGTGTTGACAAAAATTTGCAGACCCAACAGCACACGTTACTGGACAAACAGTTAAAGAGCTCCAGAAATCCATGACCCAAAACCTGGCACCTAATTAATGAAAATTACCTGTTATATGACTTTCCTTTCATAAATTTAACTTTAGGTGACGACCAGGAAAGAGCGAATGCAACAGTGCACTTCCCATGAGGTTCAACCCAAGCAGAGGCAGAAACAGCAGCGCAGGGTGTCTCCCCAGGTGAAGATGGCATGCTTGGTCCCTTCATGAAATTCTCCTGATCAAAGTGCCCATCCTTAAGGTGGATAAGCATAAGCCACTGATGAGAAAGATGACCAAGGGGAAACAAATAAAAGCAAAAAGTGGAATTCTGAGGATAAACAACCATATTTACGAGACAATAATGTTTTGTGCCAGGTAAGGTAACCCGATACCAATTGCACGATGACATCAAGTAGGGGGAGGGGGGGTAAAAAACCAATGCAACACAACTCTCTTACCTGCACCATTTTACTCCACATATCTTTTGCAGTCACAGAGCTTCCCTCAGTCAGGCCAAAACAGGGCAACACCGACACACTTACATTCTGTGTTTCAGATGCAGCTATGGCAAAAGTAACTGGGGGATTATTTTTTGCAGTCCTGTAATCAATGTATTGAGAGTAGCGGATATTAAATAATAGTGGTTACTACTACTTTTAAAAAATAAATATTCAATCATCTACAAGATGTCTGACATAATTTTATCACTAACCAGTAACATACATTTTCAAAAGTCTAAAACAACCGTCACTGAGGACTTTCAAAGTTTTTCTCAGAGAAAATTAGGCCAAGTTGGACAGAGAAGCCACAAATTCAACACAGAATGCAGAATCACCAATATGCAGAGAAGACAATAGTCTAAAACGGCTAATTCAAACTTCTATCCAGCAATCTAAGGAAATGCGTGAAAATGGTATATCACCAAATAAGTCGCATAAAGAATACCTAACAAGAATCATGAGATAAAATATAAAAAAATTGAAAATTAAAAAAAAAAAAAAAAAAACACAGTAGTTAGCTGAGCATTTCCATCACTAATCTTTGGGGATCCAAACAAAGAAAAAATGAAACTGGAAACAACAAGATTAGCAGTCACCTGTTGGATGCCAGAGGTATATAATTTATCAGAAGTTAATGATCCACATGTGAAGAATTTAGGCTTGCTTGCACTCAAGTTATTAAGCCTACATTCTATTTCGGTCCCTTTACTTGCAATTTACACTAGGCAAGTCAGAAGTTCAGAAAATTTGCATTAATCCATAATGGTAGGTCTTTCAAACGCATAGCTCTCTCCATATCTTTAGCAGCCAAAACATCCCAATTCCAGTATAACTATTTATAACGTAAACTCCTAGATACACACTGTCTTAACAAATTTAGCACCCCTAATTCCACAAAATCATCCACCCACAGGGTTCACTTCGTTACATCCTTATTTTAAATAAAAATAAGGTTTGATGTGCTACAAAATCATCCACCCACTGGGTTCATGACTTTGAATTAGCATCAATGTGTTTTAAATAAATAAAAAAAATAAAATAAAAAAACAAACAAACAGAAGCAGTTGAGACGCTACACACAAAACCAACCAGAAAATCTAGCTATTAAGGTTTGATGACTTGCTTGTGATGCAGGAGAACTCCGGAGACACCATCTTCGCCTCTGTAGGAAGTGAAAGAAATGGAGCCAACAATCAACAACTGTTTGTCATCCAACAAATATAAAAGATCTCATGCATGGATACTCACATGAATGGTTCATTTACATGACCGCCTGACATATGGGATACACCTCCAATTGAGTTCTGAAATCAAGAGAATGTAATTAAACACAAGTGGGCAAATCCAAGTCCTAAATGTTCTATACTGAATCAACATCACCATTCAGTGAAGATGACCTTACCGCCCACGTGAAAAGAAGGCTGACCTTTGCCCTTTCCTTCCCAGTGTTAACCAACTACAAAACACACAGGCAAGAGAAAAATGAGTTATCCAATTAGCAAACTAACCAATAGCTTTCTCACAATCACAAATATGACTTGATAACTGCAGGATAGTTACAGAATACATGGCCAATTCCAGATTTCGCATTGCATGCTATTTTATAAGCATGACAGAATCAAAAACAATATATGTAACATCTCCACGAAAAAGAGACATAATCATAATATTCCACTTGACGAACACACAACATTGGAGAAGAGAAATGACAGTGCATCCACATCAGTTACAAACAGTAAAATATGATTATGGACATTTCGTCCAAACCATGTTTGTTATCAGACATATTAGGTTACTCAAGGGTAGACATCCATGATGCCATATATGCAGATCTAAGAAGAGAAATATGCTGCAAGACAAAAAGAGCCTAGTTTGCAAATAAAGAGAACCACAGACTCCCCTCTGACAAGATACTGAGTCAATACATTAAATAAAGTGCCCAGGACCAATAATAGCCAATTTTGCATCTAGTTCCTAACCTTCTGTTGAATACACATAAAAGTCAAATGGCAAATTAAAATTAATAATGGCAGCACTAGAAACACCAACAACAAACTCAAAAATCAATGCCTTGCAGTTGTCCTAGCTGCATCCAGTTCTGTACCTAATCAACTAAAAACTTTCCAGGACCCAAAGCAAACAAAGATGGAAATGGACCACAACTCTCTCCCTTGCTTCCAGTGTTGTCTTCTCATACATTACGTACTCCACCAGTAAATGCCATGCACAAAAGTGGTTTCCGTATCCAAATACAGCTCCAATAAATCATATGCCAAATCAAAGTTATGGAATTGGACATTCCCTACAAACCCTCCCCAAAACAATTGCATTTTCCAAGATACAACACTTGAAAAGGGAGAGAGAGAGAGAGCGCAAAAAAGATATCTTAAATGCAGGGATAATGTCAAAGGGCCAAACTAAGTTTAGGACAGATGACCTCATGAATGTAACAATTTCAGAAGATTCATGAAGAATAATCAAAGGTGCCAATAAACAAGATTCACGCACAGTGTACACAAAAACAGCTGTAGGAAGACTGCTCTCTCGATAGTTGTGAGGAATAAAAGGCGATATCTGTCGACACGAGATTTTCAGTTCCGGGTCAGGCTCACCTACAAGACGGCAAAAAATTACTGGCAACTGTGAAGACAATGAAAAGAAAATTAACGATACAACCACGAACAATACCATCATAAATCGTCCATGCCCGTGGAAATAGCGCATGATATGTAGAATGTTGGCCATCCAAGTTCCATCCCCAAGAAGATATACCTTGGTCACCAGACTTCCTGAGTAAAGCGAAAGTTTCAGACTTTATCAGCTTGTTATGGTACTTTAGCTATTAAACCAGATAAAACAAGAAGGCTAAGAGGAAGAAGAACATATCCCATGTCCGACTTAGGTTATGGAACACTTATGTCATAGGGAGCAAAAAGGATAGATGATTAAAAAAAATAAAGAGCATGCTCAAACTAGCCAACCTAGCTAGAACAGCTCTATTGGGACACACTAACTATAGCAGAAAAACTAACATCGGCAACTTCGGCAAGAAAGGTCACAAGATCCTTTTAGACAAAATCTTGAATAGCGGCTCTATCTCATATAAACACTAGAAAGTAGTCCCACAGAGCTCACATTGTTCATTGATATAATTCAAAGACAGCAACAAGATGCAGGAAAACTGAGAAAATGCAATGAAAAATCTTTGATTCAAAGCCATACCAGATGTTTAGTACTAGAAAAATTCCAAGGGAATATCTTCCAGTTAACATGAAAGTTTAGGAAAAGCTTACAGATACAGCCAGGAAAATTCTGAAGACAGTCACAAAGTTGTTACCACACACCAAGTGGAAATCCTTTTTCTTAATAGGGGGAAAGGAGAGGACAAAGTGAAACATCAATACATCAGGAGAAATACCAAAAAAGGCAATTATTTCGAAAGAAAAAGCAAAAGGGTGCACAGTCCTGACCAAAAAATAACAATGGAGCAAAGGGTTTGCAAGAACAACAAAAGAAACAATCCACATTCATCAGAAATAGACACTTTGCTTCTTTCCTTACCCTAAACCTTCATGTTGGCCTGGGGCTAGGACAGATGCATAGTTTTTGCTTCCTCCGTCTCGAGATATGAAAATCTGACGAACAAAGAGAACTGTAAGATGCTAATAGAAGTATCAGCAGGCAAGGACAGTAATTTCTTCACAACATCAATTCATTAGAAGTAACATTTTTGGCGATCAAAAGATCAGAGTGTCACTATGGAACAGCTAAGTACACACCCACCACATGTACCGTTAATGACAAGGTGCTGAAAATAGCAATGTCTCAATGGAGATCTCTCCAATTGAACACTGAAAAGATTGAATTATTTAAACAGATACCCCAAATATCAAGGTCAAAAAGTTCTTGAAGAATCCTTGCTGTACTAAATTTTGAACTCAAACCCACTACCTGAATATCTGCCTCATTATTGCAAAGCAATCCCACATAAAATTTGAATTAATCTTTAACTGTACTAGGAAACTGCAGGTTCTCTAAATCCACTTGCTCATGCCTAGTTAGCAAGGTCTTTGCAAAGACCTACACCAGGTACTCGAAAAGCAACGCAAGAAATGTAGCCATAACTGGCTATTTCCAGTAGTCTCTCAATTTAACGAATATAAACTAGGCCACTAATATCCTTTCCAGCCTAGCCTGTAGCAATGCAGAACCATCTAAGTTCCATAAGAATCAATTCAGCTAGTTCACAGCTGTAGATAAAATTCTTTCTTACTCAAGGATAGATCACCTTCTAAGGGACCAAAACCTAGGCCCTTCGTCTACAATAACGATCCATCTTAGTTCTAGTAAAGAAAGAGACTTCCCAGGGGTCAGATTAGCAGGAAAATAATATGGAAGGATCTAATTGATAGATCCCTTAATGATCAATTCCACGGCTTTTAGACACAGAATAATAACTTCGTACTGTCGGCAACAGAATCCCTACAACTTCAACAGCATTTGTTTTTGTGACACAATTAAAATAGTAACTAGAGAACTTTAAATGCCACAGGCTCCCAGGAAAAGTAGAATACAGTTAAAAACTTAAGATTTTGAGTTAAATCAAGGGCCAATTCCCATAAAACTGCTGTGCTACCAATACTTAAGGCTCCTACTAAATCTTAGTGTTAAAAAAAAGTGCAGCGGCGGCAATCATTGCATAATGTTAATAAATCCATAACCAACCCAGCTCTGATCAATAACATCTACCATCAAGAGTAGTCACAGAATGCCTATCTAAAGAATGAGATGAAGGTGAGGTCTTTACTGAGAACTGATTTGCCATAATGGGAGAAGCCTCACATGCGCCAGGGAGGAGTTGAAACTGTCTGAATTCACCTCGAAAACCTCTAGATATGCTTCCACTTCTGCTCAAGTTTTCAAGCCAAGTTTCATCAGAAGCATGACCAAATTGAACCTTATGCAAAAAAAAAATAATAATAATAAAAAAAAAAATTAATAACTAAAGCAACTTACCCCATTCCTCCAAGTGGAACACCATGTGATGCCGAAGGCTTGCAACTTTCACGAGTAAAAGGATCAATAGGAGCTTTCTGCAGCAAAAAAGTAGGATTCACATAGACAATTAAACCCAGGCTAGTAGAGTCCAAATATTCTATTCCTATGTGAACATGGAAAATCATTCCTCAAAAGTAACAAAACTAGAATAATGAATTTTAACATTCCGGGGGAACAAAAAAATAGAGAAGGGGAAGGAGAGAGAAAATTACCCTTCCATGTGATGCTTCTTCCCTTACGTACGACCAAAGTCGTATACCGAGCCTAATCTGAGACCAATATACAGAGAGTCAAGAACTGGGAGCAAATTCATCTGAACTTCACATACAAATTAAATACATTAAAAGAGCCAACGTACCATTTTTATTGCTTCCATAAATGTAATGCTGAATTCTTTAAGAATACTAGCATGGGAGTCCAATTTCCTCCTCCAAGCTTGTGCTGGTGGGTTTGCACTGTCAAAATCCAACTGCAGAGAAACAAAGAGAAATGAATCACCCAATTTGGAGGTGCAAAAGTATACACAAGCACTGGTACATTAATTGTCAAAATGGATTATCTCCTTTTTCTCTGCTTCCTCTCCAGAGGAAAAATCAAATTGGAAATATGAAAATCCGAGAAACGCTTCCACTTTACAGAAAGTAAAATGCTTTTAATCGTACCCACTACACAGGTTTTCTATGATCTATACATAGAATGAAATATACAAACAGATAGTATCTGCAAATGAAATCTAGAGAAAGAAGGAGGCGAGAAGACACAGAAGATATGAATGCTTACCAGTTGCAAAGTTGCTCGATTGATGTATTCCTCTGGAGGCCATGAATTTCTTCTACAATGGAATAAATTTCCGCTCACCATTTTCAACTACTTAGTTTACTATCCAAAAATGGATCTTCTGAGTATATATCTACAGTTTTCTAGTGAATTACTCACCCCAGAAAACACTTACACCTCTAAAAGGAATTGAGGAAACATGCCTTTGAAGCATAAACCAAATAGCCCAATCTGAAAACTTCTCTTCTAATCCTCCAAAACCAAAAATTATTCAATCTTGAAAGCCACCCCACAACCCTCTTAATCCTTCTCTATCTGATGATGGTGACTAATTCCGATGATTATTCCTAACGGGTCCCTTTCCAGAAAACTGAAAAGGTGCAGCAGTGGAGCCAAAAGATCATCCAAAAATCAAAACTGAGACAAACCCAATTCTTTTTTCCTCTACAAGCAAACAAAAAAAAACCCCGCACTAGTGGGATCAATCAAGAATCTTGAGATTTATGATATGGGTTTTAGGATTTGAACTTGAAAAAGAAACCCAAACTAAAAATAGAAACAACACCCCCAGATTTTTCTCGTTGTATACTAACTTGGGATTGGAAAACTCAATTCCTAGGAAACTGTAATAAAAACTATTTTGTGGGAGATGATGACGAGGATTCAAAAATTCCAATCCAACACCTGTAATGAAACCACGAAACGTTGCGTAAACTTGCCAGGTGTTGGAATCATTCGCTAAAAATTTAATCTTTGGAAGTATTATTGTTGCACCCTGCTTACTGTATTTTATATAGCAATTAAAAATACTGCAAAACTGTGTGAAAATGTAAAACAAAATATTCTGAGCAACAAAACTGTGTGTGGGGCGGTGTTGTGTGTGTATATGATCCGCCAGAAGCCTGAGGAAGTCGGCTTGGTGGTGAATGGAGGAAGCCTTTTTTTTTTTTTTGTGAGTGAAGTTGTGGCTATTTTTAATGAAGAAGAAGAAGACGAAGGAGAAAAAAAAAAAAAAAGAAACCAGTGTGGACGGTGGGCTGCTTTTCGGTGGAGCTGCTGATTTCCATCCAATTTTTGAGTTATTACCAAATTAAAAGTAGTAAAAAAAGAAAAAAAAAACATTTCCACAAAAGGAAAACAATTATTAATAATGAGATAATATTTGGAAAGAATATTCCTTTTTCGAGAAAAAAACTTGGATAAAATTTGAATAAAATAAGGTAAGTAGCATTCATATACCATAGCGAAACCAAAAAAAAAAATCACACTAGTAAATAAATTACATAAATCTTGTCTTTGTTCCTTACTCTCTCCGGTCCGTATTAGTATTTTTAAAGTTTCTTTTTAATTAGAAAAACATATTAAGTGAAATTTAGGACAAATCAAAATATGAATACAGACGGGAGGGGGTATTTCTTTTGAAATGGAAGAAGTCATAATGTTATTCTTGTATTCGTGATTAGTTTACTACTAGCTCATTGATACAACACAAATTCATTTTTTTTAATTTTGGAAAACCAAAACAAAAAGGAGGAAGTACATTGTTGAGAATGTAGTATGGATTCATTATTATTAGTTATATAATTGGATGCACAATCAGTTTTTGCTGTACTTTCTAGACAATAAGTAGTTAATTGCTTTCCATCTGGATTATTGTAACGTGATTCATTCCACAATTATATATATTAGGAATAAGAATTAAGAATAAAGAATCTAGATCCTTGTGGTGCATCATTTTAGCAATGTCCCGTAAACTGTGTGCATGTGATAAAAACTCACTCAATTATAGAGAACTCTTTTATTCCAAAATTATTTTGTTTGAAACAAAAAAAAAAAGGTAAGAAATAAGAACATTCAGGGGAAAAAAATATGTATATAGTTGTACAAGATTCACATAATCGATAGAGTTGATTCCTTCTTGTATAAACATTTACTTAGTACTACATAATTTACATAATCATTCCAAAGATTCAGATAGCAATCCCTCATCCAAACAGTATATTTATGCTTCCTAATAAGTTTATCCTCTGTACTCTGTAGAACTAGATTAAACCGTATAGCATTTATTTTTATTTTTTGGAATATTACCTATTCGGTGTCTGAAATCATTGGTTGGACTAAATTTATCATATAGCACTTATTGAATACTTTAATAGTACTCCCTCCGTCCCATAATTATTGTCCACTTTACCCAAAAAATTTTGTCCCAAAATTATTGTCCAATTTGACTTTTTATAGATCAGATTACACATTTGTCTTTAGTAAAAAACATTATCCATAAAATCTTAGTGGTTAAACAATTACTTATGTAGGGGTATATCCGGTTGTTTAAGGTATAATATAATTAAGTTTGACCAAAAATAAAATCTTTCATTTTAGTAAAACTGGACAATAATTATGGGACGGAGGAAGTACATGTTAAGACGGATGAGTATATTATTACAAAAAAAAATAATAAATATATCTACTTCTATCTAATCATTTTATTATATTGTTTTAGTTCAATAAAGTGGTTCCTCAACAAATCAAGAAGTGGATTCAAGTAACCTAACAATTGAAGCTGCATAAACTAAGTTGTTATTACCATAATCACTAGCAAATATAGGAACAAAAGGTGGAGATAGATCATCATGGTTTACAAGTTGTATAACAACCAACCTCAAATAGAAATAGAAAGTCTATGTGATTTCATAATTCCATCCCAATTTTTCTTCCCTTTTCAAGTTTGACCAATGAATGTGGTCATGAAAGTAGTAGTATTGGCAAAATGGGTCGGGTCGAAAAGAAGAAAATCAGGAGAGCTAGTGGAGCCTAGCTGGAAAAGTCCAACTAGAAGATTATGGGTCACCATTTTGGACCAAAACCAAATTTGGAGGCACACCAACGTCTGCAATGAGAGAAAAAAAAAAAAAAAAGCAAAAGGATTGGTTGAGTTTAGAGGTAAGAGTTTCGAACCTATGGGATTTATCCATTTTTAATCATAGGGTTTAAATGTATAGAACAATTTTTTTTTTTTTTTGGCTTGGATAAAAAAAAATTAAATTAATTTTTTGGCATGCCCATTCCACTTATTAAAATGCTTAAAATTTAACAAATAAATTTGTTATTATTACCGAGAGTAAATACTCTTAAAAGAATTAAGTAAGATGAAATATTTCTAATAAAAAATAGTTTGTTAGAATCCGTCTATCTTAAGTAAGAAATGAAAAGGTTGATCAAACATGGTAATTATGTATGGTATGATGCATTATTTGAACAAAACTTCTCGCTAACATAACTTTAGTTTGAGGAGGTTGTCCGAAGAATCCACTATTTCTGTTATAAGATATTACTAAATATAACCCATATATTCACGGGCACCCATACTTTTTTTTTGTGTTCAACCGACGACATTTATAATAATGATTTTACGACATTTGACATATTTAATAACTCAAATATTAATTTTTTTTTTGTAATCCAATTGCAAAAAAATTAGAATATGAAGAATAATGTTCTAAATTTACGAACACGTGAATACATTTAATTTTTGATTCAGTAAGATAGGTTTTTTTTTCCTTTCCATTCGTTGAGATAGATGCTTAAAGGTGCGCCCTAAACTATAGTAGTGGCATAGAATCCCAAAATACCATGAGTTTCCATCCAAATTGATTTTTTTCTTTTTGAAGTTAAATTTGAGATACATAGAATAATTATTAGTAATAAAAGTAAAAATTTGAATTGAATAATTATTTTGGAACATATAGAATATTACTCTGGTAGTATTTTTATGATTGTACACCTATATCCAATCCTAGGCCGCTATTAATTATAAGTTTATGATATTTTTTAGGCAATTGAAAAATACAGAGTCATTTTATTATACATAGAGCAAAATCTTTTCAAATACCTATAATACCGTTACATAAAATTTTAACACACTTATTATAATTAATTTGCTTTATCATATTTTCTCCCTTTTTTATGGTTCAAATAAAAGTTTCTCTCACTATTTCAAATAAAAAAAAAAATTCTCCTTTTATGTGATATTGAAATAGAGCTTTCCAGGGCTGCATAAATTTTTTTCTAGATATAACCCATACAAAAAAATTATTGGAGTACCCGTAATTTTTACGTTGCAATAAGTGGGAGAGTGAAAATTAGAATCACCAATATATGAAAGATTTAAAGAAATTAGATAGTCTAAGATTGAGACTTAAAAGTTGACGGAGGTGCCAATAGATTAATAATGTTGCAAAAAGAAACAGGAAGCATATCGTATCGCTCATCATCCTCTGCTATTGAAGAAAATAATTGGAAAATTTTATCTAAACAAAAAAGGTAGAATATAAAGAAAGTTAACTGCAGTGTGTGTTAAACTTTTATATAAGGGTATTATCGGTAATTGAAATTTTTTTTTTTTTTTATATAACAGAATAGCTCTATATTTATGATTGCACACCTGTATGAAAAAAATAATGATCAATTGACGTCTTTTTAGGTATATCGTTAATCTAAATACAATTTAAATGATACGTATATTTAAACTGGACCATTTCTTTTTGTTCGTTTCATGTATTTTTGAATCAGTGTCATTCATTCACTTTTAATTCATTATCTTTATGTACTTTCTTTTTAATTGATGAAAAGAAAAATAGACACTAAAATATTTGACATCACATTTACATATCATCTTGTGTCCACAAAGTTTTAATTGGATTGATGAGTATTTTATGAGTATTATCTTCTATCTACTTTCATGAGTGTTTTAGATCTATAATATAAGATATAGGTGGTTATTTGATAGGTAGCTTATATCTTTATTTAATACATAAATTTTAAAATAGAAGTTTAAAATTCAATCATATTAATAAAAGTTCAAAAATAGACACTAAATTCAATCACATTAATAAACAAAAGGGAAATTCAAAATAAAAGTTTTATCCATTAAAAATACTCATTTTATAGACAAGTGGAGTTTTCACAATGTACTTCGAGGATAAAACTAACCATTTGAATAACCTTGCGAGACAAATGTATACACGTATATCTTAACTTCTATCATTAGTGTCCTAAAAATCTGTTTCAGCCAATTCCTTGCACTAATGCTATCTTTTCAACTCAGTGAATTTTGAAATAAAATTTTGCTTGTAAGTCTGACCCCATATTCAGAAGTTTATGACAGAAGTCCTGATCAACCCTTTCACCATCTTCTTTTTCTTCCTGCCTTCTTTGGATCTGTATCCACATAAATTATTTTGATGTAAGCAAAACATGGCGGAACATCTTCAGACTTGGGACTACACAAAAAGAGGCCCTTAAACAAAATACAACATTAATTCAAATTCAAAGCCAAAATGACAAATATTAACAGAAACATAGCAAACCGATATTAGACGTTCAAGAACAAAATCAAAGCCATCTTGGACACTTTAGGCGGGCATGCAGCAGGTATCAAGTACAACCTTTTACCTTATGGCATAAAACTCTACTCAAGACATTCCTCTCATCAAATACAGACTCATTGCTATCTTCTCGAATTAATACGATAGACTGAGTTGCAGCAACATTCAAGGACCTCTGGGCTCCCTCTATTTTAGCATTGTCTAGGATGGTTGCGTCTTTACATACAGATTAAATCTGCTCCAATAATCCTGGTCAAGGTTTGTATTGATTTAATGGTTATAAATTAAATTTTGCGAATTAGACATCATTCTACCTAAACCAACGAATCATAAAATTTCCATGTTCAATAACTAAAGCTTATTGCACACTTCGATTTTCGACAAACCTCAATCAACTCCATGTTATCAAAAACTAACAACAAACTTTTGATTGGATTATTATCTAAATGGTCCCAATGCAATGTATTGCAGCAAAAAAAAAAAAAAATTAAAGCAAGCGAAACATGTTTTTTAATTGTTAGATTGTGTTCCACATTATAAAATCAGAACAAAAAATCATTGGCTCTTAAAAGGTTTCAAAGCCAATCTTAAACTTTAAAATTTACATTCATTTTACC